CTGTAGTATGTATATAATACATATAATACAATATGAAGTATAATATTATAAATATATAATAAATTATATGTATAATATGTATTATTTAATGTTATATATAATATAAATTACAGTCACGTTATTTTCACGTGTTGTTTTTCTACTCTTTCCTGTCACGTTACCTTAGTTACGTTTTTAATTTTCTCTACATATACGACGAACTGTCTCAAACTCGCTTTTCATTATTTACTCTCTCGATCTTACCGATTCGATTCGCATCGATAGACCAACCAATCAATCGGCAACGCGGAAAAGAGGCAACAATAGATGCGATACATTCGGCTCCAAAACGCGCACTTCTTGGTTCAAATGACTTTTTTTATATAGGATCTGTGGTATACTCACAAACTTGAGAAAAGTCATTTTTTAAATTATTTTTTTGTACGTGTATTTTATCTTTATGTCTCTCTATTAGATATTTTAAAGTAAAAATTGTAATTAAAGAAATTATTATACTATACAAAATGAAATAAATTAGGTAATACAACCAGGAAGAAAGAGATGATTTTTTTCTACAAATTAAAACTAAATTTTTTTCTCGAACACACTGAGGTTTGTCCAAAAATATTTTATTCCGTAGAATTACCTATTTTATTTATCGCTCGGGATATTTCTCAAAAGTTTAGGTTTGATAATATTTTGTGCCTAATATTATATGTATGAAAATATATGTGTTAGCATTTAGATACATAATTAAAGAAAACTCCAGCTAATCTACCAATAAAACATATTAAACACCCTGACTATCAGATGAGTGCAATTATATTGTTAAACGTCGGTCGTAGAATGATTAATGATCCTCGTGCAAAAAGTGCTAAAACAAACGTAATAAAGTCATGTGATTCACGAACACACACACACACACACTCACTCATTGACTATTTTACGCATATGCTCGTCTATTTGCACACCGTCGCCTACTTTCTCTCTCGGAACCTCGCATCACAACGATTCCCCTTTTGTCTCGCAAGTAAATAGGATCGAATTTCTCCGTGTTGAGCGGTTTATGATTGATTATCTGAATACATGATATCGTAATGGAACTAGAAACGATTAAAGGACACGGACACACGGTCCGTACGTGGAGTGATGCATCGATGTGCATTTTAAGTGTGAAAAATATGCGAAAGACATATATCCGCGACTGACGAGATTTGATCTATGCTGTTGTCAAAATCTGTTATTTTAATTATTAAAATAAATGTTACAAAAAAAAATAGTACAACGATTTGTCACTAATTTGTTTCTAGTTTAAAAGTTTTTGATTTAAAATCTTTGTGTCGAAGTGTTTATGTTTTTCTTTTACGCGCATAAAATATTCTTTTTTTTTTAATGTAAAATTATAGTATAGAACAATAATAAGTTGATAAACGTTGAGACGTTCACTTTCCGCTATCAGAGTAAAACCTATGACAGGTGCCATTCAGGTGCATGCCTAACGCACGAGAGCGCCACACAACTTGCTTGGCAAGGAGGAGATACGCGATACACGTAGCCTTATTAAAATTAACAGTGACATTTTTATCAGCTTGTTCCCATGGTCCTTTATGGCACCAGTAGCGTCATGAGCGCGATTACACCGATGTAAATCGTCTATGTGGGCAGCACTTGACTGCCAGATGACCCGTCGTGTTCGCGCGATAACCTAAAAGACGGCGCCCGTGGCTTCGCTCAAGCCTGTCAGAGAGAGAACTTACCTATTTATAAATGCCATTTCGCCGTATTTCTGTATCGGACCGCGAACTTTCATAAGGCATCTGGCTTTTCAATGAAAAATGATCGATATTCGTCGAAAAACACACATCGAAAGCAATCGAATGAAAAAACGCGATACCATTAGAAAAACAATTATATTCTACTATCTAATTTTCACAATATATGTTTGACTTTTGAAAATAAATCTTGTAAAGTTTTTTGTTACATAAGTACCGTTTTTAATAATTTCATATTTTATTAAACAAAACGCACCGTAAAAACATTTTTACGTAATATATATATATAAAAGGTAAACGGTTTTAAGTTTACAATAAATGCAAAGTAAATTATTAAAGATATACAAGAGAACAATTTAATTGCTAAATAATATATTATTTATGAGTATACATAAAGTCCAAGTCGTAAAAAAAGAAGTAATTATACGATAATTAAATTATCAAGTATAAATTAATCGTTTGTAAATTTCAACTCATTTAAAGCGGCGGTTTTTCTTTTTATTTATAAATAGAGAGAGAAAAACACAACACGCATGTATTATTTACGTGTACGTTTAATAAAAACTTGAACATTTCTTTCTCGCAAATGTAACGTATACATGTGATGTAACATACACTTCTGTCTTATTCAGCAAAATTGTCATCATTTCTGAACGAAGTAATTTATTGCACAACTAATGTCTCTGCGCTCTTGAAAAAGTTTCTTCTCAAAAAAAATCTTCTCAAAGCGCATCCGCGGAAAAGTGCTCGATGTTTCCGCAAAAGCCACTTGAAGCAATTTCCGCCCTCTTGTACTATAGCGCGTTACTATATATTTCGAAAGGAAAATCTTAAGTTAACTAAAAAACAAACAGCTGCCAATATCTCGCAAGGTTATTTTCTAACTAAGATATAACGTATAATTAATTTCAACATTAATAGCTTAGCGTCTTCTAGCAATTAATTGAAGAATATGAAAAAAATATATCTTTGATTCGATTCCTTTGGTATTTCTTTCGTCAATGTGTTTGTTATAGCTTGCCGAGATTCGGAGAACAACGCTGATTATATTGATTTTTTCATTTTTTAAACAAAATTACTCCATTTCGCTTCTGTGTCACTCGTGTAATAACACGTGGAAAACGCATAGTTTAGTACAATGAAAAAAAAACACTTTATAGACACTTTAAACTTGTTAATTCTAAGTTATTTTAATTAAGTGACAATACAGAGAACAATATTTATAATTATACAGCAATCTCTTATTTTTTTCTCGTCTCCCTCTCTCTCTCTCTCTTTTATACTATACACTGTTTAGAATTGTTTTTACAAATCTACCACAATCGTTGTAAATTCTGATCCATAGGCACCTGCTCCATATAATTTACATACTGTATCGGATAATTGGGCGGATTAAGGTAATTGGAAAATGTGTACTCATTAGAGACATCCATGGGCATTCGTCTGTCAGTCATAAGCTCTTTGCTGTCGGATTGAACGGTTTTTAAATCCGGATACGAGGCGGTTTCGTTGCCGGTCGCTACTTTGAATTCCGTTTTAATTATTCGACCGCAATCGAGCATGCTCTGCGAAGATGTGTCCGTCGCGAAATTGTTTCTGTAATCGGAATTCAGAATGTGCTGCCTGTCCATCATTTCGTTCAGGCTCGATCTCGCGGGCATTTCCGCGGTAACTTCCGACTTGTACTCCGGACTGATGCTTGAGTCGACTTTTATCTCGTTCGAATTCGATGATCGAAAGTGATCGGGACTGAGGCGAATATCGTTTCTGAAATCCGTCTGCATCGAAGCGCTCAAATCCGTTCGAATGTTCCAATAAGGACCGTTGTATGTTGATTCCTGCACGTTGGGCTTGCCGTCCTTGATGAGAATCGGCACGGTGATCTTCTTCAACGATTGATTTTTCATGTTCTGCGCTTGTAACTTCTCCGCGTCTTCGATTCGGGCGCGTTTGTTCTTATATCTACGATTCTGAAACCAGATCTTCACCTGAGTGCTGGTTAGTTTAAGCGATTGGGCCAGCACCTCTCTCTCAGGTGCGCTCAGATATCTCTGCTGCTTGAATCGTTGCTCCAGCTCGTACACTTGCGTCTGCGGAGCCAGCAATTATTTTGTCATTTCAGCTCGGCGATTTTTAATAGTTAGTTTATTTGTAAAATTATTTGCACATATGCGAACATTTGTTATAGATATTATACACTTAATTTTAAAATTGTCAGAATTAATTTTTCTTCACTTCCTTTAAATTTACGTACTAACAAAAATGTCACAAAGTTCAATCCGAGTAAAAATATCTTAATAACCAATAATCGAGAAAAACCTACTTGCGAAAATAACACTCGTGGCTTCCGTTTCGTTCTTTTACCAGATTGACTTTTGCGCAGTTCCGTTTTGCTGGATGTAACAATGTTACCTAAAAATAGTTTATATCTGCATATATATATATATATAATAAAATAAAGCGGACACATACACACAACTAGTGTATCAAGATCTAAAATGTTTTTACATAAATAATTAAGAAGTGAAAAAACAAAATATTATTCCGGTAACAATATCTAAATAAATAAATTTATTTATTTATTTAAATAATAAATTGCTTATATGATTATTCAGTTGTCAATTAATTAAGAGAGTGACTCAATTGTTCTTTTCTCTTTTAAATAAAAATTTTGTCTACGTATAAGAATTATGTAAACATTTGCTCTAGTTATTTTCTTTATTATTCACTTTTTTATTTTATAACAAAATTGTATATTATTTGTATTATTTACCATCCTCAGTGATAGAGGTTTCTTGATAAGGCGGTATCACTTGACTCAATTGATGAACGTGATTGAGATCGGAATAATGCTGATAACTGGACATCGGCGGTTCCTTAAATTTATCCATTTCCCAATTGGTTTCAGGTACAATGTTATACGAATAATAATCCTGATGCATGTGTTGTTGTTGTTGTTGAGCTTGATTCTGATGATGAGCGTAACAATCCATGACGCCAAGCTGCTGATCCTCGCTAAGAATGTCACGAACGCTGAACGGAGTTGACACCGACGAGGACAACATTCTTAAAGCATTTTTTCGAGTTTTTTTTTCGAAATCGAATTACTCGGATCGAATTTTCTTTCTGGTAAATCTTCAACACTATCACACTACTTCTCGTCTCAGAAGAGTCTCATCTTGCTTGGTTTTTCAATCAAACTCGATAATTTTGATCGAGTCTGCGTTCATTGAGATAATTTTAATTTTCGATTGTTCGATTTAAATCTTGAAGAAAAATGTGTTTTCACCCACATAAGCGCGCAATAATTATTTAATTATTATTTAACATCCGTCTGTAATATCCGTCTCTGTAAAATTCTGTCTTACAACGTTCTTAATTTACCACATTATTACGAAAGTTCACTGATTGAGTCTGTTTCACGTGCAACAATTGCGACAGTTCTCGCACCGATCTCTCGAACTGTCAAACTCGATTATGAGATCGAGTAAAGTGGCATCCAAGTGCGTGCACGCGTGAACGTTTTGACAGGTTTTTTTTTTCCCACGAGTTTTTAATCACCAAACTTCAGCGTCAACACAACGACGAAAAGAAGAAAACACATCACTCCAATGACAATTTAACAGAATAATATTTGGAGATCTGGAGAATCCGCGAATTATACAACAAACAGTCGTTTATCGATGCACCGGTAACTCCGTTCCGGTATCGGGGGATGGTCACCGCGTTGAGTGGTCGGTCGGGTCGGAGGGCAGACGTATAATGTGACTTGGTCTTGCAAGGGAGTCAAGTGTTGGTCCCGCCGTCGCACAAGAACGTCATGGCGATACGCCAATGTGAGGGTGTGCGTCGGTGTACGACTGACGATTTTTACTACCACTATTACTATATTATACGTACGCATATATGCATTTTAACGATAATTTTCTACAACAAAGTTTTCACGAAAGAAGTGAGTCGAACATATTCTATATAATTTAAAAATAATTACAATATATATACAATTTGAGAAAATTAATATACACATAAATAAAGTTGTATAAATAATTCTGTTTCTTTCTGAATGTGACTTGTGTGTGTGTATAAAACATGTTTTATATTCATAAATATAAGTTAATATGTAAGAGTTAGCTTATTTTTTTCATACTTTTTGTTTTTACGTATTTTGCGGAGATAATGAACAAGAGTCACAAAATATTCGAAGATAATTGATTGCAATCCAGCTGAAATTTTTAATCGGCAGTTCGTGACTTTACAGTTTTTTATCGGTAAGAAATTGCACACACACACACACACAGACGCGCGATTCAATCGAGAGAGAATCGATCACGAGAGACGTACCTATATATAATAATTATTGATATCGGGAGTGTTCGGAAATAATTGAGATATTGTAACGGCGCGAAATATATCCTTCTGCGTCGCGGACAGCCATAACGCGCTGGCAACCGTAAGGCGGAGGAGAATACGAAAGACCCGCCTATACGAGAAGAATCTGACCAATCGAGACATGAAGCGAGTCCGCGCGTTTCTAAAAGCAACGATTAAACCATCATTTACGCAATACGTTTCCATACTGATCTTTCGCTTAATCACTACCCACGGCCGTTCCGGAGGTAATGTGACTCCCTGGTGTAATCGGTTTACATTTTTTTTTCGGCTACCGTGCCACGCTTCTTAGATTGCGATAAAAATGCTTTAAAAATAAAAAAGAAAAAATATAAGAACACACATAAGGTGCTCTGCACAAGAGAACAATTTAAAACAAAAAATTTGTAGATTATTCGTTAAAACAATGCAATAGATATTTTATGCAGACGCTTGACTGTCAGCATCGGAAATAAATTGGTATGATTTATAATACACTTGTGCTAGAGAACGGAACAAAAAAAGAAAAAAAAACAGAAAAACGCAGTCCGCCGCCGCGTACTGTCTAGACATCCAGATACACGCAATTGTCTGGAAGAACACGCTCGTGAGGAAGCGACAAATCGTCGCTCGAATGCAGAAACGTCAAAAGCCGACCTTTTTTTTTTTTTTTTAACCATAATAGTAAGCGTATCTTCCTATTTGCGGCTCCGCAAGCTGCGAGTTTTGTGACGTGTTAAGCGGCGTTAATTTCAATCTTTGTTTCCGACATAAAAATGTTTTCAGTTTTAAAGAGGTAACGTGTGGAAACACAAGCTTCACTTCAAACCAATCTATGTATGTTTATTTTGGTTGAAGTTTTATGATTTTGTACATTCTTGTGTCGTTTTCTTCCCAGCCGGAGCAACGCCAACTAGCGAGGCAAAACCGATCTCCGTTATTAATTATTTGTGTCAGTGTTTGTTAATTTAATTGATGTACAGGTCTGATTATATTTTAATCCAAATATATTAATTTTATTCACGAAGAAAGTAATGTAAATACATCAAGATCCGGTATATTGGCTCGCATCGACTTTTTACTTATTTGTTCTAATTACTTTCCTATTTATACTGAAGATAATTCAATTCTTTGTAACAGTATTAAAAAAATAAAATAAATTTACAAAGCTTTCGAATTTAGCGTTTTTCAGACAACCATGACCTTATCTATTGTGTAATCACGTCAGCGTGATATTTAACGAAGTGCGATGATCACGTCAATAGAAAGGTGACGGAGAAGAAAAGCAGATTTTTGTAAAAATGCAGGCGACTTCGCACAATGGGCGGTACACGACCCCCCACGAGCGTGGTAAAATACACGCCACCGTGCGAGATTTTTCTATAAACTGTAACACAGATAGGACATCCGAGGCCGTATGCGTCTGTTTAGACGCAAGGCGACAGCACAAAGGGCCCATTTATACAGCAACCACGGACGGGACCGTGTCTTGCAATTGGACACCGCGCATTATAAGATCCGTTTCCATCTCCGAGATCTCTTGGCGTACGACGCAATTTCAAGTGCAAGCAATTTTGCAATTTAAAGCGCATCTACACATTTCGGAATATATTTGAATTGATTTTAAGCGCAACTGTTTATGATGTTGGCAAATCAATTAATTCCCTCTCTTTCTCTTTCGAAGGTACTTTATAACTCGGTAATGAAACTCGGATGGATTCTGACAAACATATTGGAATATAATTTTTGAATATATTAAAATTTAATTCTTCTCATTACAAATAGATATAAAATTTATGTACGTTGTGTATATAATTGTGTATATAATTGCCAAACAATTATCTCGAAGATACCGTAGATTTTTTTTAAGAACACTTACTGTGCTCATCTTTCGAGAAGTCTCTTTAATTGTGGCTAAATTAATAAAAACAAAAACAAATAAAAGAGTGAAAAACTTGATTTGCTCACACGAGATTACCTCCGCAGGATTCTCAGACGCCGCCGGCGCTTCTTTCCCACAATTAAGAAGGCGCCTGCCTCGGCTATCTTTTGGCGCCTACCACGCATAAAGCCCAGCGTGTGTCCACGCACGCGCCGCTTGTGCGTGTATATAATTACACGCATGACTAACAGAGTGCAGTAATAAGATCGCGTCAGTTTAACAAAAAGACTTTTGTGAGAATCCAAAATCGTTTAGCAGTTTTCACATGCGTGTAATTATATCTTTTTGTAAACTTTTAGCTTACAATTAAATTTATTGTAACAAAATCGTTTGCGTGCCAGAAATGATTCTCGACTATGTTTCTGAATGGGTCTTCAATTGTGAACGAAAATTGTGGTTTAAATGCCAACAGAGTTTTTTTTAAATAAAAAAGTTATTTATAAATAATCTCTCTCTCTTTCTCTCTCTAACAACACACGCTCATACTAAATAGATACGATGTGTTCTATACCGAGTTCGAGTTTCGAGGGGGCGATTTTTCGAATTCCAGCCACGGGTGTCAAGGGTTTTCGGGCGCCTCTAGAAGCGCGTCTGGATTATGTTAGTTTCGACTCGTCGAAGTCCAAAAGGACCGTGAGGATCTTCCCCTGCCGTTGCCCGGGGAGAAAAATGCATTGTTTTATTTGTGCTTTAACTCTGTTATCCGAGCAGTCCTGATACTGACAAGCAAAATCATCTTGTCGAAATTATGACACGCTCCTCCTCTGTTCCGTGTCACGATAACCGGACAACTGACTCTCAATATCCGAATTACATTCGGTCTCAATTTAGATTTTCGTTAATTAAAAGAACGATAATTTTTACGGAATTCCACAATAGTTTCAGGAATCTTTTCCTCAAAGTTTCTGACGTCTGAAAATATTATAAGCATTGCGTGTGCGATATGATATGCAAAAAGTTTTATAAATGACAATCAAGTCTTCAAAAGTGCGAAAAAGTAATATAAAATGTAATAAAATTTATATATAATATTTTCTCAACATTTTATATTAGTTTCTTAACATAACAGCGGTTTTATCCTATTTTATACAGTTTTTTTTTTAAATAATTATTTTACTAGTAAACATACGTTGTATACAGTAGATATAATTTTTTAGATTTGTTTATTACATTTTTGTCCATTGTTATTTTGTCAATCATACACAAAGATGTATTTATAGAGGTGCAATACAGTTTTATTTGAATTAATCGAAATGCTCTCTGGTGAATAAGAGGAAATATCTTGGGAAAAGATTTGATAGATCTTGTAAAGGTAAGTTAATTTCCTTTTCTTGTATTAACAAACAATGTAAACACATAATACCTACATTCTCTGTAGCTGCTACACATGTCTTGTCTGCCAGACTTTCTGTATTACCAGCGTTGGATATTTGAAAGTTTTCGCGCATATATTTTTAAATATACTTTTTTAAAAATGCATGTTCAAAAAATATTGCATACGTATATATTTATAACTTTTTGTGAAAAAGAAATAGTCACATTTTTTTTCGGTGAATAAAGTAGTAACCGTTTCTGAAGAGAGATGGCACATCATTCGATGTTTTACGCATCCCTTGGGATTTGTGTGTGCGTGTGTGTGTGTGTGTATTTTGATTTTAAATATTTCTGTGTGATGACTTAGACAAAAATCACAAATAACGCGCCATAAACTTTAATTCAAACTGAAAATGCCGCCACGAGCCTCACAGTGAAATCTAAACACCTCACATTTCTCAGCTAAAGCTTCAAAATGACTTTTTGCTATCACACTGTTCAAAAGAAAAAGATAGGTTCACGGAAAATAGATAGGTTTGAGACACAACTACATAAATTTTAATCTAATATTATCTCTTTTTCTTATTTCTATCGCGTCGTTTGATTTTTTTTGACGAAGATCTCCGTCCGTGCATTTTTTTTCGTGATTTATGACTCTCGGAAATGTGGCTCCGACTTCTTTTACCGCTACGTCAGGATCGGAACGAAACAGACGCCGAACTAATTTTAGAATTATTTTCTTAATATTACAATCATATTGAAATCGTCGCGTTGGATTAAATATCTGAGGTGCGACCAATTGAGACATTAAGAGACGCGACGGCTATACGTCTCACATTTTATTTTTGTGAAATACTGATATTTTTTGCATAATGTTTATTAAGAACAATTTTCTACAAAAATAGCTATTTTTTTTTTTACGAGAAAAAAGAAACGTGCATATAAAACTTGAATTGGATATATATATATATTGATTTGGTTTGAACATTTTATGCAATGCGTTTTACTGGAGCGCGTGCGCGTGGCCCGACCACACTGCTGACGGAAACCGCTTTCTGTCAGTCGGAGCATAGGTCGGTCGTTTCTCTTTTCGATAATG